GACCTGCATGAAACATCATAAAATAGTCAAGATACGAGTAAAAACCATTGTTTGGAAAGAAAAAGGAAAAGAAGAATAAGCAACAAGAACAAGAAAAAAAACAGAGGGAAAAAAACGGGAAAAAAACGTCCTAAATAAACGCGTGGAAATATATAAACGCAAAGCGCCTATGAGCCATAATATGGATGTGGGTGCTATAGAAGCTTTCATTATTCATATTGAATAAATATATATGAAGGAGAATAATAAATGAAATTTAAAAACAAATGAAAGCTATTTGACAGAAAGAAAAGGAAAGTAAAATATTATGAATAAATAAATCTGGTTTTGACTCTGAGTTTCACTGGTTTCGTGACGATTTCATAGAAGAGGGAAGTAAAAATGAAGGAAGGATTAAAGAAATAGATAAATAAAAAATAATTAAAGTGGAAAATAAAAGGAAAATATATAAGAAGAGATAACTAGCTAAAAACTAGTGTGAGCTGCGCCGTCGCTCTTTTACTCCGACGAAGGACTATAATTTACCCTTTTATCTTTATTGGAAAATATAATAAGATAGATTTGTATTGCTAAATAAAGAAACTAGACAAAAATAGAGCCTTTTTGTGTACTCAATTGATCAATAAGGAAAAAGCGAAGGAAAAGAGATATTTTTATTCGTGATTCAGATTATTCAACCCATAATTGGCGAAAGCTGATATAAATGTAGTAATGGGAAAAAAATAGGATGAATTAAGTCGATATAGCGAACGTAATACTCTCGTACGACATAAAGGTCGTTGCCGTAATCACTACACTTCAAGATGGTTATGTTTTTCTAAGTTTATGTATACCTTATTGAAAGTTTTAGTACATCAATGTAATACTTGTAAATTGATTTCGCAAATCCTCGAGTAATGACTGACAGTAATGATTGACAGGACCGTTTCCTAGCAACGATAACAGACGGCACAGAAACAAAGATTAGCATATCCGATGCCAATGTTATAGAAGCGAGCGGCCATGTTACAAACAACGTTGTATTCCCTTGGGAGAAAGTAATTTTCGCTCAAAAGAAACGACCCTGACAGATTTATTAGTGGCCGAGTACAAGATTTGTGTTTAAAGATGACTTTTTGAATGAGATCTGACCGGCTTTAGTCGCGATGTTAACGTTTGCCTTCTTGAACTAGTAACACTATTAAACCCCCGGAGTATAGAAAGCAAAATATAATGGCTATAGCTTTGGAAACTGGCAATTGTTCAAGACATATTTCATCAAAATACTGCCCCGGAACTGCAGAAATCTCCTTGCAAATCTTCTTTCTGGTCGTCGTATTTACGGGAGCGACTATTGGGAATGTTCTTGTTCTTCTGGTAGTAAGACAAAGTCGACGAAGCGAATGGACCACAAATTATTTTGTAACAAGTCTTGCGATATCTAACCTTTCTTCGCCTTTTCTCTGTGTTCTATGGACAATCACTTGGATGTCGAGAGGATCTTGGACACTAGGAGATCTAACTTGTAAAATCACGTTTTTCTTTCATTTTCTCAATGCTGGGGTCTCTGCCGGGCTTCTAGCTTGCATTTCCCTCGATCGCTTCTATGTTGTAGTTCACCCTCTAAGCTTCAAAATGACCAAGGCACAAACCAAGGAACTGATCACGTTTGTGTGGGTATTTATGATATGTGCTACAGCACCTACTTTGTACTTTTTCCGAACTACTTCATTGACCACAAATGTCGAGATTTGCTCGACTGATTTCGAAATGGTAGAATGGAAAGTATTTATTGTACTGTATTTTCTGATACCATTTGGCTGTCCATTCTTGGCCACTCTCGCTCTGTACTGTCGAATAACACATGCTATTTTGGTCAGAAACCGCCAGGCAAGGAACTTAACAAATGATTTTCGAAGGCAGGCGAATCGGGTACCAAAACCTAAAATCAAAGTGCTTCGAATGCTAGTGTTTCAATGGCTATTTTTTGTCATATGTTGGATTCCATTTTTTGTAACTCAGATAATTCAATCATTAAGTGTAGCCGATTTCACGGAGAGGTCGTATATCGCAACTTTATTCGTTTCATATTCAAACTCCGGTCTCAACGCCCTTATTTATTCGCTTTTTAATAGTGATTTTCGACGGGGATGCAAGAGAGTTTTCTGCAAGCCCGACGCATCGCAAGCGTATCGACTCACCTCTCTTCCAAGCCGCAAAAACCGAATCGCTCCCATGGACGATTTCAGCTCTGGTGAGCATGACTTTGGCGAGATGCGCTTGCCAGAATTGAAACCCTTTAAACACCATAGTCTTAATGGCAATGGCGATAAACTTGTACATCAGGCTTGGGTATCTAGCTGTGCCCCAAGAAGGATAGATCCATAGAGGATTTCCACGACGCGAACCGGGAAAAAGATCGAGATATTTGACAACGTAAAAGGAGAGTGAAGATAACAAAAATAAAAAACTGCAAGCGAACAATGTGACGACTGGGCCAATATATCCAGTTCTGGAAAAAGGGAAATCGCTATATAGCGCTTAAATAACCAGTTAAATTTATTTTCGACAAATTTTTACACTAATTTTGGGGAACTAGAAGCCAAAAGCTATCGAAAAAAATCAAGGAACATTTTCATATGTATATATATATATATATATATGTATAGAATTATGGTCGTTTCCCCTGCAGCTGTGCGTATATACGGTCAGCCTTCCACAAGATCAAAATAAGACTATTTATTATTAAGAAGATATAAAAATTCTCCGTGAAAAACGAATAGTAAGTATCAATAAAACTGTAAAAAGGAATTGTTTTGAAAAGAAATATTAAAATAAATAAAAAGCCGTTTCAAGAGTTTTTCGTTATTTTTTTTTTCGATGGGAAAATGTTGAGGAAACGTGTACCGTCAGTTCCAACTCGATCAAAAGTAAATATTTAACTGCGTTTTGCTAATAAGGTTCACAATACTTTTATGAATTTATTACCTGTTCTGATGATAACGATTCCTAGTTATTGCAAGAAAATAGTTTTGAAGATTTTTACGATGTACATCGGAGATTATAGCCAAAGATAATCATTTATTGTCATGGTGCATCTCGATTTCACGCTATTCACTAAATCTCAAAAATAAACGCAAACCCGTTATTAATATTCAATAAAAATCTAAATCATATCTTACAAAATGAAATCTTAAATTCTGATAATAATTGTTGAAAATTGAGTTTTTTATTTATATTTGTGTGGGAAGTAGCTAATGCAAGATTCGGCTATCAAATTATGCTATGGTGAACGGAACAGATTTTCGAACGTCATTTTTCATTTGAAAGATTCAACATTTTATATTACGAAAATGAATTTAAATGTACTTGAAGTCTAAAAAAATCTAAATGCTAGCATTACGTCGTTCGTGTACGATTTTTTTTTTGGCTCAGAAATTCTTGTAAATAATGACGTATTTATTCGGAAATATTTCTAATCAGTTCATCTAACGATTATGACAATGTATTCTGAAAAAAATGAATTGTTTTGAGAGATTTTGAGTTTATTACAATTTATCATTTCAAGTCATAAACCTTGAAAGTCTCTCCAGAAAGTCAAGAATGATTCAGTTTTCTTCATCGACTAGATGGTTTGAACATATCCTTTTAAAATGCATTAATCAAATGTGATGTTATGAATTAAGTACTATTCTTAAGTAACAAGCATTTCCTTTGTATTATTTATAGAGATGACGTAATGCATAAAAGCCAGTTGTCAGGCTTATGTATCCAAAAAATAAAAAATATATATAAATGTTTTAAATTACTTTGCTTTAATTAATTAAGCAACGGAAATCAAATGGTTAAAAAATAAGTGTTAGAGTTTTTGCACACTGGTATCTTACTGAAACGATATTATTTTATAATTTGATTGGGAAGAGATGTACAATTTCTAGCAAAGGAGGTAATCGTGCAAGTTATACTTTTTAACATATATTCGCAATAAAGGGAGGGCTATAAGAACTGCACTGTTGGCAATTATTAAGAAAAAATAATTGAACAAATTAAATTTAGAAGGAATTTATCAATGCTCTTACTTTGGGCTTTCTTTTGCTTAGTATTAGCCTCTATGGTGTGCAAATGCACTCTCTTCTTCTATTAAGGCACACCGTATAGTAAAAAATGTACGTACTAAAAAACATTAAAAAATTTCTAAATGCCAGGGCTGCAACCAAGGCCATCTGTATAGTAGAAAATGTATGTAATACAAAGCGTTAATAGTTTTTTAAATGCCAGGGCTGTATCCAAGGGGGATGCATTGGGTGCATGTGCACCACCCGCAAAAGCTGAAGGTCTGCAGAGTCATTGTTGGTTCTGCAAATCCTTGCAATGTCGTATCCCTTCTCAAGATGGCTGTTAGTTTAGACATAGTTCCATTTCCTGTGCACCCACCCTGCAAGACCCTAGTTACCGCCCTGGATACCATGAGATTTGGTTGAATGGCTGAATATATTAATGCATAATGGAGGTTAAGGCTGAGCAAAAGAGAACTCCAAACTAGAGTATTGGATGATCCTGCAGTCTTGTGGGTTTCCTGTGGTATTGTCACATGGAATCCAGGCTCAAACTTGCACCCAGGGTCCTCTTGGCTGTGATTCTGTGGGCAGAGAGGACCCCGGGAACAAGTTGAACCTATCTCTTTTAAAAATCCTGGTTCTGAAATAAAATGTCTGCTTAAACAGGGCTCAAAATACAGCTGGTGACTGAACAACGTCAGACAAGAATTAAAGCTTGTCCAGTTAAATCTTTGCTTAGCTAGTCATTTCGACCAGTAATGATAAACTAGCTAAAACTGATGGGCCATTATTTTAAGCTCTGACTTACATTTGGATGTTAGTTTTTTTGTAATATATACAGTATGAGTGGCCRTGTTGCATCCGATATACAAACTCGAGGTGTAGCCGAGAGTTTGTATATTGGATACAACACAGACACGAATACTGTAGATTACTTATCAAAGGTCTAGGTTAGTTCCTTTGTGTTTTGCTAAAATTTTAAAGATAAAAGTTAATCCGGCCAAGAAAATCCATCTTAAAGTTTATGCAAATGAACAGGATTCTGTATCTGATTTACAACACTCTTCACGGTCATGATTTCTGTTGTGTTTTCCTCATGAATTATTAATGAGTTTGATAATAAAGACGTACAGTACCAGAGTACATGTTTTCATTATGGGGAATGCTGTACTTAACCATAATACATAAACCAGCTGATTTGAGTTTAAAACTAATATTATTAGTTATGAAGATATATAAATTATACTATTATACTTTTTAGAATAAAGTGCCTGAATTAAGTTAAAATCAAGATTATTTATCTATGAGAATGAAGCCTGCCCAATTGAAAATTGAGATGATTAGGAATCTTCTTTTGTTATAGTTGAAGTGCATAGACAGCATTTCTACACTGGGAGGGGTTCCAAACAAAAGCTAGGCTACCAGAGGTACGTCATTTTTTTCTTGAAAAATGCTATACATATAGAAGAAGTCAATGATGGTCCACAACCATGGTCCACCTTTGACTTCCAACTATTTTGACAAAACATTTGTTAAAATAAAAATAAAAGAAAATTGCTTGATAATCCTTTTAGTACTGTTTAAAACACACAGTGTGTGTTTGTTTGTGGGACAAGATTAATTAGTTCCATTGGGAAAACTGCTACACAGCCATGCCAAGTGATTGATTTGTTATTGTCTGAATAGGAACCATAAATTGAATGTGAATTGAATCCTATCACTAGACCCCTCCCCTCCCTTCCCCTCTCCCCTCCCCTGGATGTTGGCACACCTGTGCGATACCAATAACTTAATTATTATTGAGATATATTCTTTTTCTCAAAGTAACCACAGGTGCAGGGCATTGTTTATAGCCCTTTTTAGTGTAGGCTTCAGACACTTCGTCATTCACTTTTACCATCATTGATGTGACATCATATGCATCACAGTATTTGCCAAATACTTCGCACAGTTTAGAAATGTACCAGGAACCATGTTCAGTACTGCGCCAGCTGACATAACCTGTCACAAAATGATAGAAACTTATTTAAAATAACTTCCAGCTGTAGAGAACTTGTATTTTGTACATTTCATTTTATATGGTTTTTATATGATTTTTTTATTCAATTTCTGACCACCACCAAAACCTATTAGGTATGAAATGGGGGCTAGCTATTAATAAGTTCCTTAAAAACTTAGAATCCCCCTTGCTCTTCATTACCTTACTCTACTCCTTTCTTTTCCTTCTCTTTCACCCTCCAATACACTACTTCTCCTTTCCCCTTGCCCCCCCACCCTCTCCATTCCACACCCTTTCCCTCTCTGCCTTCTTCCTTCCATCAAAAATATAAATTACTCAACTAATATAATATATTATATATATATATTATATTTCTTAAGCTTTACAAACCTGGAGGTGTTGCATACCCAAGGAGGAAGTGTCCTTCATTGGGTTCGGCACTATGGCGCATTGCATCCTCTTCAGAATTCCTAACAGCATCAGCTTGAGTTCCATGGTCAAACTCTGTGCCACGACACGCTTGAATAAAAAACAGTTTGGGCTTGTTTAAAAGTGAAGGGCAAGCACTTCCCTTGAACTGAGACGTGATCTGTCCGAGTTCTAACACCTCAGAGTCAATGCCATAGATACCTCCATGGATCCCATGGCTCATCAGACAACAAACAAAACAATCAAAACTAGAATGATCTTTCGCTGAGAACTCTCTCGCAATTTCATACATTTCACTGGTTGTTTTATTTCTCTTAATCACCACCTCAAAATGAAGTTTCTCCCACAAAGTCTTGAGATTGTTGACATCTTTCTCAGTGCCTATCCGATCTTGCAGATTCCTAATGCCTGAAAATTTTTCATTGCTAATAATGAGGGCGTATCCTCTTGGGCGATGCCTCATGTCGTATGATGGCATGTCATCTTCTTGGTCAAGGGGAGGTATGTCATCTCCACACTGGACAGGGAACCTTGGACGAGATTCAATAGGTATGATAGGTGGTGCATTCGGAGGTAAGTTTATTATAGTACGTGTAAAATATTGTGGTGTAAGCAGTGGGGCAGGTCTGATTGGTAAGGCCCCCGTGTGCTCAGAGTGCTCCTGTGCTCCTGTCGGCTCTGGTGTGTTCCTTTCTCTGTCAGAAATTGTTAGTCTCGAAATTGGAGGCACTGGGGATGGATCTGAAAGATAATATTCACTAGAGAGTTAAAAAGTATAATTTCTGAGATAACAATAGTGTTTTGCCACACAAGATGAGTAAGAAGGAGTACACAAAAAGCAATAATTAAAAGAACAAAAACCTTACAAATTACTTTTTAACATATTTCTAAACATTTTTTGACCTTTGTCTCTGCATCAGTTGGTGTGTGCTGATATAAAGCACAGGCAGTCCAACAAGGATCCACACGTGCTGGATGAAGGGCTTTTCAAACTCTTTTAGCCAATTTTGTTCTAGTTAATCAAATTAATTAAATTTTATATAGTAATGATGAAAAGGTAAATTATACACCGTAAAAAGATGAAAAAACTTACTGACGTTTCAGACGCTAGTCCTTTTTTCATCTTTTTATGGTGTATAATTTACCTTTTCATCATTACTGTTTCATTAGAAACACCGACGCAGCTCACACTAGTTTTTAGCTAGTTATATCTTTAAATTTTATATAGAGCAGTTGTATCCAAAGATGAAATAACTGTCTTTCATCCTTGGTGATCAATGATGCTACCCTTAACAAAATCCTAGATCTGCCTCTGCTATTACCTGATTGCCTTTTTGAAAACTCTTCAACTTTTTTGGAAAGGTCTTTTCTGTGAATAAAAGTGAAATTCTCAGCAAGAAAACTGAGATCTGACTGCCCAATTATGCCTCTTTTCTCCAAGTAATCAAACAACTGATGTCCACTTTTCATTCCTTGACCAATAGCAGCTGTATATGGAAGTCAAATATAATATATATTTTAGTAAAGCTTGAAGTTAAGAGAAGACAAAATAATAATAATAATAATAAATATATATGATGTAAAATTATTTTTTTACTTGGTCTAGGTTTCTTACCAAAATACCACCATTCTTAATTCAGGGTTTTCATTATTGCTTGGAGACTGAGCAAAATAATCTGGTTTAAGCTACCATGATCTTCTCCTATTCTTTCAAAAATTAATGAAAACCTGGAATATGATGTACCTCAGGGTAGTCTTAATTCTGTGAGGAATATTTATGTGTTCCAGTGAAGGTTGTTGTAATTTCAAAGTTTTTGTATGGTTGAAGTTGTGCATTCTTTACTTTACCTTTGGAATTGGTAATTAATATTTTGAAACTGAAATAAGGGTAACCTTCTATAAACGAGAGCAATTTTTGAGATGGAATCTCGTGACTGAAATACCTAAAACAGCCACCATGTTGGTTGATCTAACAAAAGAAACTAACAAGGAATGCTTTGTTATCGTCAACCAACATGGCAGCCATACCCCCCTACCCCACCCATCCCTCTGTGCACAGACATGCACACAAACTATGACTGTGAAATCATGCCATCCAGCACAATAAAAAGCAAAATTATCCATAGGCTTAGTGCATCACTGCACATATTTTCAATGCTCAGGAAGTACAGGTGAAGCAACGACTGAAGCATTGTTGTGCAAAAAAAAAAAAGGAACAATATAAGCTTATTTGGCTAAAGAAATCTAAGGTTATTTTATATCCATACTATACCTGGTACACTGACGAGAAACTTTAAAGATTCAATATTTTGTCTGGTCAATTCGTCACACAATTGGTTCAAAAACACCCTGTACTTTATGTTATCTTGACGAGAGCCTGAAGTTGTCGATTCTGAAGAAATAACAGGGCCTTCGCTTGCCATATCCCTGCCACTTGACTTAATTCTACTCACTAGATCCTTCCTTCCACTTTTATCCAACACATCTTCAAGAAAAACTAAATTCGAAGTTCCTATTATGTCTCGGTTGAGAAGAAGAATGAAGAGATCCATGGCGGACTCAGTTTGTTGGAGTTGACCTGCCTCGACTTTATCGCTGCAAAGATACTTTATATTTTGTAAATCAATGTCCCTTATTTGGCTGCCGATGCTATGAAGCAATCGGCGAAGCTCTGCTTCGTCCATAGCCGGAGGAAAGTAGTTATTTTGAGGCGTAGAAGGTTTTCACTTCACCTAAACCTGCTTTCTAAATCGAATGTCACACTAAGGGACTTCCCCTTCCGGCTCCTTCCGTACGTTACCTCATCAGTCGATAACCAATCGACAACTCTTCGTTTCATCATCTTCTAATTATATCTTTAAATATATACATACCAATAACAATGCCTAAAAACTTTAATACAATTTCTTAAAGGAATTTATTTTAAAGAAATTACTTTGAAGGGGAAAATTGTATAAAACGATATTTCGGAATTAATGATCGATATTTGATCGGAAAGGTTACGAGTCCCAGGGTGCATATCGGGCGCTCAACCGGCTTTTCTTCCTCTTTTTTGTCAGCCTCCAGCCGAAGCTACTTTTGGATTGTCCAAAAATAAGACCCTCATTTCAACAAAATGGTGCGAATAAAACTCTATATTTTATAAGAAATAAAATAAACAATCATTAACGCTTTGATTAATCTTATCAGGAATGAATTTCGGCCAAGGATGGCTGAGATATTGGTGGATTTTGTTACGTACTGTCGTATGAATTTCTAATGTTTTTATTGATTCACGTGTACATTTGGGTTTTTTGTTCATTTAGGGGTTCGTCAAAGTCATCAAAAATAAAGCTTACTTCAAGAGATTTCAAGTAAAGTATAAAAGACGGCGTGGTATGTTATCTTATTTGATTCACTGTTTCATTAAAAAAATTTATAAGAATTTTGCTGAATTTTTTTTGCGTTTTGTTGTAGAGGGAAAGACCGATTACTTTGCTCGTAAACGTCTTATTACCCAAGATAAAAATAAATACAACACGCCTAAATATCGCCTTGTTGTGCGATTAACAAACAAGGACATCACTTGTCAGGTATGAAAATCAATCTTACGATTATGTATGTACTGAAAAAAAAATAAAAACAAAGCAGTTTGATGGGAAAGATTGTTGTAAATAGGGGACATTTCATGAAGAGCAGAAGTTTTATGATTACAGTATAGAGCAGTTTTCCTATAAGTGGGAAACATGTTACTGACTTAACAGCACATACATGGTATGACATACTGTAGCATTGAAATGGCTTCCCAAAATGATAGTTATTGTATCGTACGAGTGGAAAGCATGTGGGACTGACTTAACAGCACATACATGGTATGACATACCGTAGCATTGAAATGGCTTCCCAAAATGATAGTTATTGTATCGTACAAGTGGAAAACATGTGGGACTGACTTATAAACAATAATAGAAGTAGATTTCCCTACTCAGCTATTTCATGATTGTTTCCATTCAAGGTAGCGTATGCCAAGATTGAGGGAGATGTGATAATGGCAGCAGCCTACTCACATGAACTTCCCAACTATGGCATCAAGGTCGGGTTGACAAACTATGCTGCAGCTTACTGTACTGGTCTCCTACTCGCACGTCGTGTAAGTATAATAACTATATGATTATGATTCATATAGCCCCCTTTTCATATCAACATGATCAAAGGTGCTTTAATTAACAAATAAAACAGCTTTTTCCGTGCTTTGTTCACTAGTAAAGCACGCAGGAAGTGACTTAAGGATGAAAGAAGTGTAAGGAGAAGCACAAGCCATAGGAGAGTGCTTCTCACACTTCTTGTGTGCTTATGGAGCTTCCTAAGTGCTTTATTGCTAAATGGAGCATGGAAAAAACATTTTCATTTGTTTTATTATATAGCTTCTAATTTCATTTTGGTATTGAATTTATTTATGAAAAAAAAGACGGTTTCAGGATCTAGCAGCACTTAGAGCACGCAGATGGCGTCAGCACTGTGCTCCGTTCACTAATAAAGCATAGGTTTTGACCAATCAGAGTGAGCATGCTATCCTAAYTATATAATAAAATAATTCATAATTTATGAGGTGTTCATATTAGTATGAGGAAATAATGAGAAGACCCTGAAAAGCTGCTATTCAAACCRCACAACCACTAAAGAAAAGATAAGCTTCTTTAATTACATCAATCCTGTTTTATTTTATTCTGTAGTTGCTCACAAAGCTCAACTTGCACAAGATCTATGCAGGGAATGAAGAGGTGAATGGTGATGAATACAATGTGGAGAGTATTGACGGCTCACCAGGGGCATTTAGGTGTTTCCTGGACATTGGTTTGGCACGTACCACCACTGGTGCCAAAATCTTTGGTGTCTTGAAAGGAGCTGTTGATGGAGGACTGGATATCCCCCATAGGTAATAAATCTAATTAAAGAATTTTCTTCATTCTTTCATTACTGCTATTTTCAGAAACGTGAACTTGGTAACTACTAACTGCATGCAGAAATTTGTTTTTAACTGCCGTCAATCAAAAATAATCAGTCAGTACCTTTCATATTTTTGACTGGCGGCAGTGAAAAACCAAATTCCAACAAATTGAAACAAACAAATTGAAACTACAGAGTTTGCATGTTTCTAAAAATAGCAGTAATCCTTTTTTTTTTTTTTTTCATGTTTGTAAAATGCTTAAAAGTGGTTCTTGTGTCATTATTTCCTTTGTCTTATCTTTCAATTTTCTGTTTTCCTTTTTCATGTTTTCCTTTATTTTTTTCCTTCAGTATTTTCCCCATTCCCTTTCATCCACATTTTCCACCTTGATTTTTTACTTCTAAATTCTTCTATTTCCATTTCTGTTTCAGGCCCTCTTTTTCTCTCTCTATTTCCCACTTGTATTTAAATTAGTCTTTGCTCCCATTTCATATTGCATTTTATGTTTTCTACCCAGCATGAAGCGTTTCCCTGGTTATGACTCTGAATCCAAGGAGTTCAATGCCGAGGTTCATCGCAAGCACATATTTGGTCAACATGTTGCTAACTATATGCGCCAGCTCTCTGAAGAAGATGATGATTCCTACAAGCGTCAGTTCTCTAAGTTCATCAAGCTTGGAATTACAGCTGACAGTGTAAGTACCCTTTTCGTTTTGTCATTGATCTTGTTATATATCTCTGCTGACTGAGTGACTGACTGACTGACTGACTGACTTGACTGATTAAATAATTAATTTTTAAAGATTTGGTCACCTTTGAAGTTCTTCTAAAAGATTAGACAAATTTCTCAATGTCATAGTTCGTTCCTGCAACTTGTCATCAGGCACTGCATTCCCTTACAGACAGCTAGAACCAAGCCAGATCTATTTGTTTTTTATCTTAGGTTGAAGGCATGTACAAGAATGCTCATGCTGCCATCAGGGCAAACCCTGTTGCCAAAGAGAAAGTAAAGAAGGATATCACCCCCACAAGGTAAGTCCTGGAAAAATGTTTTTCCCTTTTCTTGGGGTGGTGATAGGTAGCTTGGATAGCTGTTGGATAGCTTGTTGGATAGCTTGCACTGCGACAGTGATGTCGCTCACTGTTGTGTAGTTTAAGCCTGGGATTACTGGTTCAATGCCTGTGTGAGCCTTGYGAGTCCAGTTTATTCAATGTGCTCTTAATTTTCTTGCCACAAGACTTTTTCTGGGTTCTCTGGTTTTTCTCCCTCGGTAAAAACCAAACCCTGAGTTGAAAGATTGTGTGTGAAATTAGGCCAAATTGAAAAACAGGATCGTTGGATTCCTTCACCCACTGTAAATAACTATTGTTGCATTATCAAGTTTCGTGTATTGATGCATACATTCCTCACACAAGTCTCGTGTGTTAATATGCTGTTTGATTTATTTGTCATCTTAGGTTCAACCGTAAGAAGCTCTCCAAACAGCAACGTGATGCTCGTGTCRCACAGAAACAAGCAGCATTCTTGCGAGCTAAGAATGCAAGTGCGGATGAATAATGGAGAAATAAATTCCAATTGCAACAAAGTTGCAAATGAATCCAATGACGTTGCATTCTTTTTTTATAATTAAAAAATGTGAAATTTGACAAGGGGGTTGGAAAACAATGGTCCATTTTACCTCAAAGTTTCCACGTTTCAGACCACGTGTCATTCTCTTGAGATTAAGATTCTTTGTTTCCATAGTTGTATCCATATTTATGTGTCTCATCATGTGCAACTGTTAAACAAAAAATTATACTACAGGAAATGAGACTTGGTCTGAAATGAGAAAACAATGCAATAGTCCCCTTCACAGTTCCCTGCGCCATCTTGAAAGGTAGCCGTGCCTACGCATCGAAGCGAGAGGAACGGTGAGCATGCAAAGTTAGGGACCTTTTTTTAACACCTTGAACAATTATTCACGTCTCTATCATTGCAAGCTCACAGTTCATCTCGCTTCAATGCAAAGACACCGCTACCTTTCGAGATGGTGCAGGGAACTGTGAAGGGGACTATTGCCTTTGTCGGAAAAGTCTTAATTTGTGCACTTGGTTAAATTGACTAGAACATAGCCTTTTCCCCTCTCTTATCCATGCCAGTGTCATGACTTTACACACATAATTACTAGACCAAATTCATTTTCCAATTTATTTATTTAATTCTACGAAACTAAATACAAGCTTCTATTCTTGTTTATATCACAAGAAATATGGTAAACAAAGTGCATTTCAAGGTCAATGGATATATAAATAATTCCATATGATTTTTTTCACTCTAAAACTAATTCATTTAAATCAAGAAAAAAGTTTCGTTTGCTATAAAACTAAGAATCTAATTGTTACGTGTTTAGGACGTGCTCATCCCACTCGGAATTATGACAATTTCGTCTCTCAATTCCATGTGGGATGCTTTTGTTATCAGTGTTAGGATCTAAAACGACTAAAATCTCGTACCTAGAGTTCTTAGTCATCTTCCTGCTTTGGCACCATCCCGGTGGCCAAAATGCCGGACAACTCTGGGTACGAGATTGTACTAAATTACGACAGTTACTATGATTACAATATGGTCTAGTTCAAAACCGAGCGACGTACAGATTAACCCATTATCAGCATTTTTGCTTCAAGACCCTTGGAAATCACCAGCAATACTAAGGGTTGCCGTCAAGCGCACGCGCATCTTGAAAAATCTCTATCGAAACTGTTTAAAGTGCTTTTAAGCCTTTACACAATATTTTCAGAATTGATTCTTTAAATAGTGAATAGTTGATTGTGAAAATAATTCGTCATTTGAATGTCGGGTCTTTGAGATACGAAGGTTTATATTTTCAATATGTTAATGACTGTGACGTAACATAAGGGATTTGAGTTATTTTGTGGCAACTTTTAATATTGAACGCTGGACATTTTTTGAAAACAAATTTGTAAGAACCTTTACGTGAGTCACGAGTAAAAGGGTGGTGCTTTTAATACTGTATTCCAGAACGAGTGCAGTGTTGTATATTAAATGATCCCTTATGTTACGTCATAGTCATTAACATATTGGGAATATGAACCTTCGTATCTCAAAGACCCGACATTCAAATAACGAAATACTTTCACAATCAACTATCCACTATCTAAAGAATCAACTTTGAAAATATTGTGCAAAGGCTTATAAGCACTTTAATGATATCATCTAAATCCTACTACTGCAGAACCTAGGATTTTCACTGAATGATTAGAACCCGTTTGCAGTATTAAATTTGGGTATTCAGCGGTTTATGAACGTATGGATATAAGTTAAATGTTTTCTTTAAAGTTATATATAATTATAGACGATATTAAATGAAAATCTTGGATCCACTACTCCTACCTGCCTGCATCTTCGACCTTTACAAAGCCGATACTGCTCGTGATATGCACGATTAAAAACGCTTATCTATTTGGGAACTAGCTTTGAAACAGATAACATTCTTTTTTTCTTTTGCGGTGGCTGTTTCCCAACGCTTATCTTAAAAACCGTTCTATCTTTTTGGTATGAGCGCCATTCAGGGTATAAAACGATAAATGTTTTTTTATGTTATAAAATGATATGTTTTTGTCCTAACTATTGGGAAACATTTATCCAAAGAAAAAGGAATGAAAAAGCCTTCTACAAAACTAGAATTGCTAATTTAACTAGATCATAGATATGATTTAGATCAACGTAGTGGATGATGTATAACCTTCAGGCATAATCTTACACGCGACTATCTTGCTATCCTTGTTGCCATACACTGTCAGCGGCTTAAAGGGGATGTTCTTCTCGACGTATAAGCAAAGACTCTCGTATGCGCTTGGATAGTCCTTCTTCATTTTGACACCGTACTGCTTCAGACTTTTCGAGATGATCCTACAGTAGTGCCTTCTTGCTTCCATGTCATTTACGAATTCGTGTCTGGAACACTTGGGTAAGTAGAAGACTTTGGTTTCTCGGTTGGTTTCTGGGATCACAGGTTTCGGTCTTTGGATGAGAGACCCGCTCAGGGGGATTCTGATGCACTGTAGTACGGTACTCRGCTTATGCCGTGGTACCGGGTATAAGGGGAAGTCTTCGACTTTCCCGGCGACGATTGCCAAATTCAAGACCAATTCCTGGTACGGATCGTAATCCTTGACTTGTTGTATCAGGTTGACCCTGTGTTTGCTGACCACTCCTTCTTGTTGGAGTTGACGCACTGTCGAAAAGGATGGTGGACTGGGGAGTAGAACACAGCCGCCGGTCATGAATTTCCTTGCCTGCTTAGGAGATGCGAACGTAACCATGACACACCSACGGCCCTTGGAGCTAAAGTTCTTTGTCGCTATCTTCGACAGCAAGAGTTTGAGATTCTCTTTTTTGTGGCAGAAATATACAAACGAACGCATGTAGCTGTTGATTCTACCAAAGTAGCAGACTTTCTTGTGCTCTCTCCAGTGCGCTCGTCGGCATTCACTCGAGCAATAATACGTAAAACATGAGGGACATGAAGTAAAAGATGTTTTATCCTGACTGCGTACAATCTCATCCTTACCGCAGTAGTTATTCCCGCACGTCACAACTATGACGTCACCTTGGTAATCCCCGCCAAATGGTGCTTCGCCAGCGAATGAGAACTCAGACATTGGACTTGACGGACGGGTAGAGACATCATCTGGAATATCATCGGTTTCAGAAGCGATTGATAGAAAACTTGCGTCGACACTCTTTCCAGGCTGGAAACGATTAGAAGGATAAAGAAATATTTCAGATCCAAAGCTGTCGTTACAAAGATCTGAAGTGTCAATGCCAGCGGTCTGACTAAGCCATAATCGAGTATGCGCACTGAGTCGTGAGTGATACGGGACTTTCTGCGGTTGCGCATCACTTTCGCTTTGCGGCTTGTGCAGATCAGGCATGGACTTGTGGCTGTCAGCCATTTCTTTAAATGACGGCTCGGTATTAAGATCTGAGCCAATGTCATTATAGCGGATTGCGTCTTCTTTTTCTGGTTTTCTCGATTGAATATTCTCGTGTGAATTGGATCTTTCTTTCTCTGCACGGTTGCGTACGGGAGTAAACGCAGATCTYCGAAAGTCTGTTGCACCCATTGGGCTTTCTGAACATGCGCGTGTGATTCGCTGCGCTGCTCCGTCCGAGGAGTCAATCTGTAGGCCGTTGCCTTCCGCAGTGATCTGCCGCATGTGGTGTCCAGGTTCCTTCGTGGCTTTTCTAGACATCCTAAARCCTCTCTCTGTATAGTTTCTTTTGTTTCGTTCAGGAGTGCTTGTCGAACTTGGGAGAGAATAAAAAGGTTCAAACTCGATGTCACTTCTTTCTGAGGGAATAGGCGTCGCTGCTGCGGAAGATGAATCTGAAGATAACGACGACGTAAGAGGACGAATAGACGTCTTTACAGCTTCTAAAGAAGAACGCGTGTGTCTGGTCTTAGGCTTCAATGGAACGCTATTAAGAGACGAGGTCTCGGAGTCAGCATCACTACTGCACGCCCCGTCTGCTCGATAACCATTTCGATTTACACCAGGCTTTTCAGGAAATCTACTGAAGACTTCGTCGTCAATGTCTCCAAAAGAATGGCTCTCATTCATTGGTATGGCTTTGATTACTGAAGCAACCTGGCTTCTATCTGCCTCACACACATTAACAGGAACATCTTCCAATGGCTGTCGTTTTTCACCCGTCACGTAACTTTCTTCCGAAACTAAGATTTTCCCGCTTCGGTTAACGACAGTGTTTCTTAACAACGAAGTTCGGCTCTCCAAAGTTTCTTCTGTCGCTGTCGTTTCCACTGTCGCGGAATCGTTCGGTTCTTCATCGGCAAATAATGCATCCAGGTCGGTTTCTTGCACGCCACTTGGTGTTATCCTGGTATGAGGGCTATTTTGGAGCTCAGTACTCGATGGCAGCAAAGCAGCACTCGTGTTGTTTGAAGCATGACTGTGACTGTATTCAGTTGTAATTAGAGTCTTAACGGTAGTAGTTTGTCCTTTGTCTAGCACTTTGGATTTTTTCGTGGTAACACTGTTTAAAGATGAGACTCCGCCAAAAAGTGAATCCAAATCTGTAACTTTGAGGATTTTGTCCTCCTGCTCGGCATCAGAGTTGGCTGGAGATGGAGTTTTTGCTATTTTCTCCAGCCATCCATCCCTTGTTATTCTATAATCACTATCAGAATCGCTTGAAAGCCTCATGCTGTCCTTCTCATGTCTGTCATCTGGCGAGGACAGTTTCGTCAAAATGCTCGATGAAGAAGACTCTTTTTTCCACGTTCCTCGCTCAGAAGTAGTTGTGCGTTCTCTCCCACTTACGGGGAATGTAGTTTCCTTGGATGTCTTTTCTGTCGGTCCCGATTCCATTTCTTCCATTTTCTCTACTTTTACTTTTTCATGCACTTTTGATGTTAGTGGTTCGTGTTGCGCTTTTCTTGACTGTTTATCTTGAATTCTTCCATCCGAGTTATCTTTGCTAAGCCTGTCTTGCAGTTTCAGGCTTGAAGACCTTATTGGAACCGATGGTGCTCTTGTAGATGGACCGACACTTGCTTGGTATTTAGGCTGCTCTTTCGGAGCTTGACTTTCAGTGTCTGAAGTTGCAGGGCTATACCTGCTGACGGCAAAGAACGTCCCTTTTCGAGATACTCCATAACGACTGCTTCTTTCCGTACTCGACTGCTTCTCTAATGACACCTTTCTTACTAGCGTCTTCTCTTCCTGGAAACTCTTTTCTTGTCTCTTCTCAGAATCCGATAATGGCGTTGGACTGTGTCGGCTCAAAGCAAAGATAGTACCAGTTTGGGACCTCCGACTCTTTTGGACCGTTTCCGGAGACAAAGATGACTGTCTTTGTACATGAACGTTTTCKCGGGTTTTAGTTTCCGAGTCAGATAAAGGCGTTGGACTGTGTCTGCTCAGTGCAAAAATCCTAGCAGTGGAAGAACTTCGACTTGCTTGTATCGTTACTGGGGATAAAGAAGATTGCCTTTGTAGTCCTGTCTTATCCTCTCTGCTGTGGTAACCGGTATCTGACGAGGGTGTTGGACTTTGTGGGCTTGCTACAAACATAGTCTCCTTGGGAGAAATACTTCGTCCTTCGGTGTCTTCGTCCTTGTGATTTAAATTTGATACTGGATTATCACGTGCTGATGAGATGAAAGTTTCTTCAGATGAACTGATGCGGCTACCATAGCTTTCTTGAGGGGCTTTTGAAGGCGTGGGTCTCTTTTCTTCATTCTTGTTTGCAGAATCAAGCTCGTCAGTTGGGATTAATCCGCTCACAGCAAATGTTGTCTCTTTGATTTCACTCTTCTGAGATGCATCTGTATTTATTCGTGGTCCCTTCTCTTCTTCTGGCAGCGAACTAATGCTAGTAAACTTAAAAATTTGTTTCGGAGCTGTAGACAGTGTGTCGATGTCATTTAGAGACTTCCATCTTGTACCTCCTGGGGACTTTTTCCTGATGTTTAATATCGTGATCCTTCGTTTGTTTCCACGCACCTCATCAACTGTGACTTTTGTCTTGAAGACTCTTCTTGGGGAATCTGAGAAGACTTCGTCATCCTCTGAAGACACTCCAGGATCTCTAGGAGTTGAAGGATCAGAGCTACGTTCGCTCAATCTAGAAGCCCCAGCATCGCGCTTCTCTCTATCCATGCTTCTAAGTTCGCTAAAACTCTTTGTAAGTCGCATTGGAAAATCTTGTTCATTACTGGGCGTTGACATGTTGCTCTCTTGGTCTTGAGATTCATCCACTTCCAGGTCCAAATTTGATAGCTTGTCACAAATGTTCTTTTTCAAGTCATCACTTCGTTTTTTCCTGTCTAAATCAAGTCGTGTTTTTTGGTAATATTGTTCTTTATTTTCGACTACAAGTGGTGTGTTGTTTTCCGTTAGTGAAGTCTTTTCTGAAGGAATTTCCTTCTGTAAACTTGGAGTGCTTAACTTTACCAAAGCGACGACTTTTGTACTTTCTTTACCTCCATCTTTTTCTAAGGAAATCTTTCTATATTTGCTGTGATATTTATTTGCATCCGAATCCAAGTCACTGCTAAAATCTTCTTCCTTTTTCTTATCAAAGGAAGATATTTTGGCCATTCCTTCGTTGTTTCCTGTACTTTCTTTGTTAACTTCACTCTTGTTGTCACACAATTCATCTAACAAAGTCCAATCTATTTCTCTAGGAGAAAACGTTTCCGAGGTGACATCTTCAGTGACCATTTGTTCTGCAGAGTCGAACTTTTTGATGTTCGATTTTTGTTCGTAATTACTGGTATAAAAATCAATGTCATCAGAGGCATCATTTCGTGCACACTTCTCCGAGGCGTCGAATTCTTCCAGGACAACTTCATCTAGCTTGAAGTCATTCCACTGAATCTTCCTAGGAATAGGTTCTTCAGGAGATATTCTTTCATCAACTGGCTTCCCTAGCCCTGCGTTCCTTCCCTGATCTGTTCTCCGATATCTTGTTTCGTCATACCGTGCCTTCCTCGGAACGACGTTATTTCGACTTTTGGTTTCTTTGCTTGCTTCTTGGTTCACCTTTTCTTTGCCTTTGTTTTCTTCCGCAGCTTTCTTTTCAGCTTCAATCCTCTTCATCCTGTTCGCTACAATCTGCTCCGCCTTCTCCAATCCTGTCATGGTTTGCTTTTGTTTAACATCAAGGCTACCGGTCATGCAGATTTTCAGCCCAATATGAGTATCAGGCACTTGATCAATCGTGATCAAAGTTTGAAGTTGTTTTTTCTCTGGGTTGAAAGCAAATGATTTCTCGAATTTCGGTTGTACATCTCTTCTTTGGACACGATAATTCGTACTAGCGTCTTCCTTTTCATCGACTAGACTTCCTTTATCAGAATCATCTTGTTTTTCAGTTACTTCAGACTTTGCCTTAATTTTTCCTGAAGGTAATTGTGCAGATTCCAGTGGCTGGTCGACTTCCGGTTCTATCGTAGCAGAAGATCGCGTGACATTTGTGACATCCTCCTCGGTGACATTGTCAATATCTTTTGTTGTGATGTCTACAGAAGTCGAACTTGTCTTTATTCCTTTGTCTGAATGCATGACTGTGGAATACTTTACTTCATCGCTAGATTGCGTGACATCTCCAAGTTTGTCTTGTTTGTTGGTTTTTGACAGATGTTCTCCTCGTACGTTTACATCGACTTTGCGTGTTTTATCAGCTGATAGTATGTCCGCGACATCCCCTGCTGAGCCATTCTGTGACACATCACTCACATCAGAATCTGACGTGTAAGGCGACGTCGAGTGTTCACGATTGCGTGACGTTTCATTCAATCTAAGAATTAACTCAGCACGTTTACCACTTCCATCGTTTTTCGTTTTTCTTCGTCCGTATATCACATCATGCCGTCCTCTCGGAGAAGCAGGTCGAACGAGTTCAATACGACCCGAACCTGACTCTAAGCTTGCGCCATTTTCTTTTCTTTCATCCAGAACGATGCCATTTTCCTGTTGTTTCTTAGTGCTCTCATCAACTACCAATACTTTGCTTTCAAGATCCTTAGCAACTATGCTCTCCAAGACATCAGTTTTGCGCAACTCTGGAATTCTTTTGACTTCAGTTGATAAAGAATCTTGCTTTGTGCTTTCTGGTTTGTTACGTTCCAAGAAATCACTATTTGCAAAAGCGCGACCAAATTCAACAGCACTTTCTGGTTTACCAGCGATTTGTTTAGTAATGTTTTGACTAGAATCCTTATCTTGTGATGTGACACGTTCCAACATGACTTCTCTTTCGACAAAACGATTCAACTTCTTCGATTCATCTCGGTCGTGTAAAGTTCTGAAAGATGTGTTTACTTGTTCGCATCGTTCCTCGAATGTATGAATAGTTATTGGGCCACTTGAAATATTTTCCTCTTCACCACCTTTCATTAACTCTGGAATATTCTCTTCCAAACTACGCACTTCAGAATGATCATCATTTTCCTCTTCATTTGCATCATCGAAGATGTCATTTTTAGTTTTTCTTCCCATCCCCCTTTCCACTTTTGCTGACGAGGTTAGGTTCTTTGATAATCCCGTTGCATCAGGAAAAAAAATTTCTGTCTCTTTTTTCTCAGTGGGACATTTTTTCTGCATATCGCTGCCAAAAGTGTCTTTTTCATCTTCTTTAACCTCCTTGGAGTTATCCGTAATTTGATCCAAAGTTGTCCATACAGTCTGTCTGGAAAAAAACTCACTTGTCCCACTGAAACTAAGTTTGCCATTCTCACTGGAGAGTGTCTTCGAGGTATTTTCTGACATTTCAATCGACTGATCGACAGTTCTATTTTCATTACATTCATCCTCATCCCATATGTCATCCAAGCTACTTTCTGTGTAAACTGTTTTGTTTGCATCACTAATGTTTATTGCACGTACTATTGTTTCGAGATTAGCTTCCTCTGCTAGGTCACTCGCGAATTTGTTCGTTTCAAAATCATTCTCATCTTGAGCACTTTCATTTGAAGGTAGTACTTTGTCCAAGTCAGTCACTGAAACATGTCGCTTTAGAAACATATTAAGTTCGCCTTCCTCGGATTCGCTCCCTTCGTTTTGATCCTCCAAATCCACTTCGTCAACATCAATGTCGGTCTCAAAAGAATCTATTTGTCCAACAAACTGTGTCCAAGTGTCATTTTCTAAGTTGCTTTTATTTGACGAGGTTTTTTCTTCGTCGTACGAGTTCACCACAATTTTAGGGATCTTCTGGGTTTGATCTTGTTTTTCAACTAACGAGTTCGATTCTTTGTTGTCGCCATTGATATCATCTAGATCGTTACTGCTCTCCAACACAGAATAAAATGTCCAAGCGTGTGTTGAATGGTTCGACATATTGTTCGAGTCTCTAAAGGTAGTGTTCTTTAAGCCATTCGACAATGAAAGGTCAATCTCTTTCGATGTACTACCTGTAGAAGATTTCTTCTTATTGTTATTGTTATTGTTATCCTCTCGATTATTCAAATCTCCGTCGGGTTCGTTTTGTAAATTCGCATTTGTCTCAATGCAAACGATAACCTCATTTGAATTCCTGTTGACATAGCAATTGGAATTCATTGAGGCCGATATCGATAGCTCATTCTTAGCATCCTCAAGGAACTCGCTGTGGTTTTTATCTGTTTTTAAGTCCTTCTTACCAGCAACCAATGCCTTTTTATGCGTTTCAAATCCACATCCACTCGTATTACTGTCAAGGCTCTGCTCCATGGGGTCAAACTTGCAGGTCTTTGAACCGGAAACCAGGCTTAATGATTTCATGTTTTGACTCGAAAAAGCTGTTTTTCCAGATTCAAGGACGCTAACTTTATTTTCATTGATGTCGCTTTCCTCAGGGCCTGAACCAGCTGGTTTGAAGGCTTGCACTGTCTCATCTTGGCGTGATTTATCATCTTTGCTCGAAACAGCATACACTTGCGATACATTGCGAGTTCGTAGACGAATCTCTGCTGTGATTCTAGAAGTCTGTGCCGGTTGTTTTCCTTTTTTATTGGTAATTTGACGACCAGAAATAAATTTTTCGTATATAAGTTTACTGTTTTCTTGATCTAAGTTTTTCATGTCGCTATTATCGATAGTACTATGTACATCCGCGATAGGCTCATAAACATTTGAATTGGAAGATTTATTTGGACAGCTCTCAACTGTGTCACTTTCCGATTTTGTGATTTTACAAACACTGCGATCAAATAACTCTTCCTCTTTATACTTTTCCTGGTTCTCGTCTTCTTCTTCTTCCTCCTCTTCTGTAATGCTAGGCAAAAACCCAGGAAAGATCAAAGACATTTCTTCCATTGATGGCCTCCTGACGAGCGAATCAGACATTTCTCGGACGCCACTTTCGTTGCCCTTGGAGTTGGAGCAAGATTCGTCTTGCCACTCATAGCTCGAGTGGTGGATTCTTATTTCTCCATCAATAACTTCATAATTGTCCGAGTTTTGACTAGAAGTTGAAGGTTTACAAATGTCATTTCCCTTTTTAGTAGACGAGGGCTTGGGATTACATTTGCCGGCTCCGAGATGGTTTAGTAATTTATTCGCAACTCGTTCTTCTTCATCTTCGTCTTCATCATCTACGCATTTCGCGCTTCTCGGCGTAAGTTGAGTAATGTAGAACCATACAGTCACAACAAGGAGGAACAAAAAAATGATACACCAAAGAACCACTGAAATCCCACTTTCATCGTCGTAGTCATCGAGAATTCCATCTGCGCCGATTTGAAATCCTGAGTCAGACCCAAGTGTGAAGACGATCATGATCATCAAATTCGAAATCTCTCAGTCCCTTATTCACAAAAAGAGACCAAAGTTCATTTTGAATGGAATATTCGATGCACTTACGACCTCTCGGCTCTTTCGTTTGTGTTTCTTCTAGTTGTGGATGCGCGAAAATGTTTAACAAATTATTTCTTCTATGACACGGTCTGTTCGACGTTGGCCAGTGCTTTAGAACCCACTATTAAAGTACGCGAAGGGAATATAAACAACTGCACATTTGCATAAACCAAGATGAATAGCCGTCCAGTTGCTTAMCATAAAGCTCAGACAGTGTACGTTGCAGTTAAAATTCTTCAACGAATTGAAAACTCGATGGCGAGAACACGAACTTGCTCGAAAAATCTTGGAATAAGCCSTCGCTGCTAGTGTGTGACATCACCAATTCAGCTAAACATACGAACGATCGATATGGTCCGATGGACTCGAGTGCGTGTGAGCCCGCTGTGACATCAGAGAGCAACATCATCATGAGCCAAATTATRAATGAACTAAGCCGTACTATCAAGATTTCTTCCTAATTTAAAAAAATTACGATATCTCTTAGGAGCGATTTCTACTCGAATTCTACACTTATTATCGAAATTATATGTAAAAAGTTATTAAGTTTTTTGTTTGGGTGATTGAAATTTAATTCAGAATGTCATTATATTTCATTCATCACTAGGGAAAATGCATATTGTTTGTTCAAGTCCCCGCAGTCTGAAAAGCCCTCGCAAGGCTTACGATATATTTGTTTAAACAAATTGCTAAGAATATTATCCCAAAATTTTTAGCGATTGCATGAAGTTTCGTTCTGGGGTRGCCAATGTCTCGTATTTCTAGAAATTACCAAAAATGTTAAGGTCAAATATCTAATCATTGTTAATGCAAGCTATATTATATTAATAGAATTGAAAACTATAGAAAACACAGAGAACAATGGGTGATTCTAATGAGTAACATTTTATCATGAATAAATCATTAAACCAACAGCCATGTAATTAGAAGACACACGTGTGCCTTTTTTTCAGCAAAATTAGTCTTATTGGCTGGTTATTGGCTGGTTTTATATTTCATAGTTGCTGTATTTTTTATCAGTTTTTATTGATACGTGTATGTTTTTCAAATGCCAAACACTAGTTATCGTAATTCAATACATCAAATTTTAAGTATTGTAGAAGTTCTTGGAAAACAACAAGAATATTTTGCAGGCTATATTTAGACATTTTAAATGATTGGGAACATTTATATTACTTATCTCTTATTTTTATAAATATATATTATTCAATTATACAGAAAGGGTAGTAATTAAGACTAGCCTAATTATTTTTATTTAAACCGAATTTTTCCCCTAATTGCGAATATTTATATTTTGGTACAACAAACATAATATAAACTCTTATAATTCTGTAATTATAAATATTTTTTATAAATTATATATTTTCGTGATTTTATCTTTCCATGTATTTATTCWCAGTTTTATTTGGCACAGAGGAATTCTTAGAAATTATTAAAGGATTATCATTTTATTTTGGACACCATTATAATATTTCATTATTTAGTATGCAGACACCCCAGGATGTATTTTATCTGGCAGATAATGAATGAATAACAAACACTTTATTATTACTGTTTGTAAGTTTGAAAATTGCCAATACATAACAATAAAAATAATTCTGATACTATAAATAATAAAACTTGAATACCTAATATTAAACAACAATGTGACAAACATTTTGTGTTGGAAAGACACTCTTCTCTCATTAACAATCAAGAATTAAACAAGTTGAATCGTTATTATAAAAACGTACTGAAGTTCTTGAATAAAATTATAAAGGATTAACACCTCTTAAATTTTCTGAAAGTGTTTGCCGGCTACTAATTAAGAATTTGGCCCAATTTTCGATGATAAAAAAAAGAAAAATTAGCCATCTTGAGATTATTTSTTATATGTAATTTAAGGATCTTTTCAAATGGCTAGCTCACAGGTTGAAAACTGTCATGCAATAGGTTTTATAACTGCTTATGTTTTTTAAACTTAATCAAACAAATTATGAGATAAGTATAGGAAATCGCACAATCTAAAGTACAATTTGGAAATTAATAGACACGAGTAGTGTTTTGAAGGTTCTTGTAATTGCATGAGCTTTTAGGCGAGTGCAATTAAAGAACTGTCAAAACATTACGAGTGTCTATTAATTCCAAATTGTATGAGAAGATCGTGCTATTTTTTGTTTATAGTTCACTCAACAAAATTTCAGTAAAGAATGTGAAGCAACGCCGTTCATCTTTGTCTATTTGGCGACCGATTTTCAGTCCATCGCGCAACCGACGGAAATGCATAAAAAAGATTAGTTCTAAGTACAAAATGATAGAAAATAATTGTTTTGACATTGTTTTGGCCAAGTTGCCATAGTGACTTAATTCGGTACTCCTACGGAGTACAATTAACACTATAATTGTACTCCTCTCGACCAATCTGAGTCGAGTAATTTTGTTGAGTGTACTATAAATAAACTAATTGGGTATTTTTAAACAAATATGAATTGATGAGTTGAGAAAATGTTGATAAACAGCAAACCAAATGAATAAATAAAAGTTATTTATTTAATAAAGAAAAAATATATAAGAA